TTTCCATTTTTTCATTTTCTCACATTAATTCTATTCCCACTTTTTTTTCTTTTTTCTTTTTTTTGGTACCTGGGATTGAACTCAGGACCTTCCATTTGTGAGACAGGTGATAGAACCACTGAGCTAAATCCACAGCCATTCCCTTCTTTCCTTTTCCCCACCCCTCCCATTTCCCCTTAAAACTAAGAGATATATACACCTCTACAAATGAACTTTGAATTTTTTAAGTTTCTGTATCATTTGGAGGTTGCCTTTAAAAAGGCACAAGAAGGTTACTTAAATTTGAAATTCAGAATTACTTCCTTTATTGTTTATATTTGAACTCATAAATAAATATGAACCCACTGATACAGAATCCTGAAGCAATGAATGCATTTCAAACATAGGGATACCTCTCAAAATGAACACTTCTAATGTTCACAGCTGGATGGATAGGTGCTGAGCTTTCTACATCCACCCAGTTAGTGAGACCTCTTTTTTTTTTTTCCTCTTGCCTCAAAGCTTTGGGCCATTATTTCTTTGTGATATCATTTTAGGTATGCATCGGGCAGTTCCAAAAAAAGCAGTTGCTTACATATTTATTCCATCCAGCAATAGTGCTCAAATCACTTGAGAAATGATGGTGAAAAATCAAGCTATACTTACTAGGTTGCTAAGTGAGCCATTGTTCTGCTCTGGTGGCTTCTGTCCCCTTAAGGGTTTTCTTCTCAGGAGGCTTCACTTCTCTGTCTCTCTAACACTGGAGTCTGGTTAACCCAGTTGCTGCTGAATAAGCGAGGGTTGGGGCTCAGCATATGCAAAGCTGGTCCCATTTAAAACAGTTGTGGCCTCTGTAATAACTCTTCCCTGAAGTAATATAGAAAAAAGCAGAATGTGTGGTACTGTGGGAGAGAACATGACCAAGAGGACATGTTGTCTGGGAATTTCTTTGTAAGCAAATGTGATTCATGGGGCAGAAATACAAGGGCAGCATAGCCAAGGATTGAGTGGAAATCTGAGTCTCAGCCTCTGAAGGGTATTTGGTTTAATCCCTCCGGCCTGGTGTGTGTTACAAGTATCACATAAATAAAATCCATTCTTCAAAAACAGCAAGAGATTGCTTAGCTGAGGTTTTCCCAGCATTTTATTTTTTCCAACTAACTTTGCCCTTTTATTTTTAAAGAAAGTTGTTTTCTGCTTGTAAAGCACATTGGCTTGTTTAGTAAGCCAAAAAAAAAAAAAAATCAGGAATTCTCTTAGGCAAGATTTTATATTATAAATTAATTCTCAGGGAAAAATGTTTTTTGCTCTTATGTTACTAATCTACAAAAGTAGAAAGCCATATGTAATCAAGATTTTTCCACATAACATGAATAAGAGTTTTTGTTTTGCTTATTTGGAATTACTGTTGGCAAGAATTAGCTCCAGAATGTGAGGTTCATGGATTGATCTGCAGAGGGCGTTAAGCTGCGAAACATGAAAAAATTTGACCCATCCCCTACAAGTCTAGTTTTTAGCAAGAAGAAAATAATCATATTAAGAATGTAGTTTCTTCATGAAGGAAAAGAAAATGAACTCTGTTTTTCATGTGTGAATGTCTCCACATGATCTGTTTTCTGTTCTCACTCACTAGCACATCCAGGCTACAGCCACCTGTCGCGTGGGTTGTGTTTATGATCAGACATAGGTCTATGTTCCAGGGGTGATGAGCCCAGGAGCTTTGTCAGTCTTGTTCATCATTGTGCTGCTCAACCAGTAATTGTTGAATAAATACAAAGAGGCGAAAAATACAGGCCATGAATTGGGGACATAAAAATAGACATAATGCTTGTTCTTGGTAAGTGGCTCGACAACAAATCCCTGTGAAATGGGATTAATGTGTAAGATAGATTTGCACATTTATAATTTGGCTCCATTTATTAATTTGATAATATTTATAAATAATAAATATTTATTTAGTAAGTGCCTACTCTTGCTAGACATTGTTTTAAGTGCTTGGGATTCAATACTTCACTGTACTATACTATACTAGACTGGCAAGAAATCATGAAATAGCAGAAAGGGAAGGCAATTAGGGGATACCAATAGTGTATGTTCGCTTGTAAGCACGTGCACTGGTTTATGTGAGACCATCAGTGAAGGCCTGAGGAGGTGCCATCTGGAGAGAGACTTGAAAGAGGTGTGAGAATGAGTCATGCAGCTATTTGGAAGAGTCTTCCTGGCAGAGGAGCAATAGAAACTTTGGCTTAGATGTGGAAGATATGTGTAGAGTAGCAAGAAGGCAGTGCAACTAAACCTGGTTAAGCAAAGGGAAAGAATAAGTGAATTAGGAGAGATAACCAAAGGCCAGAATGTGTATGGCTCTGCAAACCACTGCAAAGATTTACAACTCTAAGTCTCTTGAGAAGGTTCAGAGGGCTGAAGGCAAAAGATATGGCATAACTGGATTTATTTTATAAGTGTTCACTCTAGCTGTTGCGTGGAGAGTAGGAGGGAGATGATTGAGTTTGGATGCAAGGGGGCCAATTCAGAGGCCTCTGGGAGGGCAGGACATAGCAACATCGAGGGCAGCCTGGCTCACAGAGTGTAAGGGAGTAGTGAGAAATAGACTGCAAGAGGAAGATGCTGAAGAAAGTGAGATCGCTTTTGGCCCAAGTAGTTGGGTAAATGGTAGTGCCATTTCTAGAGATTGAGGGGAGAGCAGGCTTGGTCATGCATGGAGTGGGGAGAAGCCAAGGGCCAGTTTTTAGCATTAGGTTTGAGATGTCTTTTAGACATCCATGGGGAGATATCAGGTAGACATATGGATATGAAAGTGTGGAGTCAGAGGAGAAGCTGGGCTGGGCATATGAATTCGAGAACAGAGGGCATAAACCCAAGAAAAAATGGCTCTGGTAACTCTGCTTTTTCTTTCTGCTCCACAGGACTTGAGCTTGGGTCCTCTGGGGCAGATGAGGATCCTTGAGCTAAGAGTCACCTTGGAATTGGTACTCCAGCAAGAACCACAGCACAGGGCCAACGTGGGCAGCAAGTCCCCTCGCACCATCAGGCTGCCCAAGTCTAAATTGACAATACTGTCACCTACCAGTCAGCTCTTGAAAGGCAGAGACGAGTCACTACAAACAACAGTGGAAAGAGTTGCCAACCCCTCCATGGCTGGATCCAAGGGTAGGGAAAAAGGATTTGCATTGGAAGACTGAATCTTGGGGCCAGGCTGTGCAACAACATAGGGCTCAGTCAGTTCCTGCTAGGGACTGTCTATTCCTGGAGATCTGATCCCTGAGTCACTGAAAGGAAGCTGACATGATACGTGAGGTGATGGAATGCCTCCAAAAACAAAGCTTCTAATCTTGCTCATCTCCCATTAGCTCTCCACTGCCTTTAGAGAGCTCTTTCTAGATCATGTCCCTTTCTCTCCTATTCCATGGCCATGGAAGTAATCTTTAGCCTGGCTCCCAGTTCTCTCTGTGATCTGGCATGTGCCTCTCACTCCTCCTTATCTGCTGGTGCATTTGTACATGTACATCATGCTCCAGATGTTAACTATTTTTCCTGCAGGCTATCAGGGAAATGTCATTTTGTGTTATACCTCCTTAGAATGACCCTTGCTGCATGTCCACATACAGAACTTCTGTACATTTCTTAAAGCCCCGTTTCAAGACCTCTCTTCACTGTAAAGAATTCATAAGTCTAATCTAAGCAAAGATCTCTCCTGCATCTGCACTAACACCATAATGAGTTTATCCACTGTACACCTATCATCCCACATGGTAGTAATTTTGGAAAAGTTCATCTTCCCGGTTAGATTGTGAGCTCCTTTGGGAAAGCAATCTAAGGGGTTGTTACTTCTGTTCTGTGTGCCTAACCCAGGGCCAGGTAGGAAGTAGAAACTTAATACATTTGCCAAATTTAGGGAATGAGTGGGTTAGAACCCAAATGGTCAGAACAATGTCAGTCCCACTAAAAATAAAGCCAACAATTCATGAAATGTTACCGAGACATCCAGAAAATTATACTGTGAAAAAAACCAATCACAAAAGTTTATGTACTGTATAATTCCAACTACATGACATTCTTGAAATTCAAAATTATAAAGATGGAGCACAAAAGACTGGTGGATAAGGAATGAGGAGGAGGTAGGCAACAGGGAAGTGGGTGTGGCTATAAAAGAGCCACTTTTATAGCAGTCTTTGTAGAGATGGAAGTATCTTGACTAGGTCAGAGTCAAGAGCTTGGTTGTGATACTGTACTGTGGTTTTGTAAGGTACTAACATGGGGAAGACAGAATGATGGGTACAAAGGATTTGTCTGGATTATTTTAATTCATAATTATCTCAAAATATAAAGTTAATTGAAAAGGAAAAAAAAAAAGAGAGAAAATTTTCATGGTGACCTAGCCAAAGTGAGTTAAGCTTAATGCTAGAGGACTCAATGAATGACACTGCACTGGCTATAAAAGTGTGTTAGTCTGAAGCATCATCAGGCTACTAAGGACTATATTTTCCCAAATAATCAAGAATTTGTGTACCTTTCTTATTAGGGGCCTCTCTGACTTCACACTTGTGTTTCCATGAGCTTTCCAAGCCACCTGGTCTTAGCCATGAGATCAGGCTTAGCTTTGGCCAACCCTATGGTGGTTCCCATCCACAGAATCCCTGGAGGGTGTGCGGCACTACTTCTTGTGGAAGTTAATACAATCGGCTATCTTGGATGTGTCTAGAATCTACCTAAAAGCCCTCTGAGTCTATGTCTAACACACTGACATAACTCTACTGAGCTGAAGTGATCTTGTGAAACTATAGCACACAACAAAACATGTTTACTCACAGTCAGAACGGATGGCTGGCAACACAGAAGGAATGCCCATGACCCTGAGATACACCATTGTTATCTGGGGAGAAGCTCTGAAACACTGGCCCTTCCATCTAGATTCCTTGAAAGGACTATTTGGTACAAATGGTAAGCTGCTCAAACTGGTCTGAGAGTTTTTGCTTGTTACCTTGGAATGGCCCATGACCCACCTGAATCAGATGGGCTGCACTTTCTGGGCTGCCATGTCGCAGGTCATGTCCATTGATGGCCAATATGCGGTCATTCTCTTGCAGCTGGCCATGTCGGTCTGCCACACCACCATTTAGCACACTGAAGATGAATACACCAGGCTCATCCACCTTGCGTACCAGTTTTATTCCAAGCTGCTCCTCCGGGGTACTTTTGTTGAGTATCACGTGGAAACTGTCATTTCGAGGTACATAAGAGTCCAAGGCATGTCTGCTTCTCCCGCCTTGGAACTTCTGTTCACGCAGCACTGTGAGCCACAGCACCTGGCAGGGCTGTTGCAGAAGGCCCACAGCATAGTTGTGAGGGACGTTGCTGATGTCCATCCCATTGACCTGGGGGAGGGGAGCAGAGTTACTGTGCAGTCAGAGCCACCTGCTGCCACCCTTCTTCAGAGGCCCAGGCTAGCATTCATGAAGGCCCAGGTCTCATCCCCAGCACCACAATAAATAAATAAAAGGCTCAGGTCCACAAAATAACTGTTGACACCATTCCTCTGAAGACTGTTCTGCTCTCTCCCTTTATCCTGTGTCTAAATAGCCCAATGTCTCATCAGTACTTTTCAAACCTCTATGAGGAGACACCATCTTCTTTTAACCTTGGCCTTACACAGGCCCTCACATTTAACTGCAGAATCCTGACCTTCATTTTTGTTGTCTGGCAAATTTATTTTTTAGCTGGTAGAAAGGCAAGGAAGGAAAAAATATAGGAAAAGGCAACAGAAAAGGAAGTTTCCCATTCAGTTTGGTCAAATGATTACATGATTATAATTCTTTTCTCTTTTTTGTGCTGTTGGGAATTGAACCCAGGGCCTCATGCATGCAAAGAACATGTCCTGCCATTAAGTTACACCCCTCACCCCAAATGATTACATTAAATGGCCATTCAAGCCAAAGTGAATTGACATTTTCTTTCCAAAAATCTTCAGTCGAATTTTGCTCCCTCTGTCACTCATATTGGAACTTCTAGATCCAACCACTCTGTATGTCTACTTATGAGGGGAGGAGATGCACATGCCTGCCTATGTGTGCACAAGTATGCTACGAATATGCTCATGTACATGTGCGAGAGAATATGCCTGTATGTAAATGAGTGTTTGGGAATGTATGAGGGCATTTGTGGTAGAGTAAGAAGTATGTGTATGTGCCTGAATGTATATGCATACATAGGTATGCTTCTAAGTGTGTGCATGACAGAGTAAATGTGTGTGTGTGTGTGTGTGTGTGTGTGTGAATATGTGAATATCACCTTGGTTTTTTGCAAGGTTTTTAGCTCGTGTTTCTAGAAAAAGGAAAAAAATATTTCCCTACAATTTCAAATACACCCATGCAGAAGGAAACTTCTAGGCTCTTTGACTGAAAGGCTGGATCACTTCATAATGTGACTTAAACATCCTTAAATTGGGTCTCTCGCTTAATAGCCAACAGGGCTAATACTACACTGAGCTTTCTGGCTTTAATTATTTTGGCTGCACAAACTGAGCCTACATGCTGCGGCCCCCAACATTAGTCACTGTTGTGGAAGAAAAGAATTCACAGCAGCTCTGTGCTTAAGGAGGGGTGCCCCACAGGGGAGCAACAGCCTCTGGAATTTCTGTAGCTTGGTAAAATTTCGTGTACTTGCACCCCATTGTTACAGGCACCTTGGAATGAGCTTTAAGAAGTAAAGCTTCTTCCTTCCTGCTCAATCACCAATTCCCCACTGCATTCCAGAGAGGGGCTCACCACTTTTGTGCAAGCACAGGAGAGCAGCATGCAGGAGGTGGCAGGGCCTGCCTCCCCCTTCACTCCCAGGCCAGGAAAAGGTCAGGATTCCCAGTTCAAGAGTGCTGGCCGCCCTCTGCCTGCAAGTGCCTGCTGAAGTCCACAAGAATCAAAATGCTCGATTTTGCAACCCTCCCAGGCTGCAGTTTCTACTGGAACAGAGAGAAAGCCACGCAGTGTCCCTGAGCACACTGCTGATCGCCTCTGAAGCTGAGAGGCGCTAGCTTGTTCTCTACCTCAGGCACCAGGGGGACTTTTCAGCATTTCTACAATAACTGCTTCACATTACTTCTCTCATGCCAGTTAGTCTGCCAAACAAACAGCTCATGATGTGACAACAACTTGCTCCTCAGCAACCTAGGATGGGATGAAACTACCTAAGTATCAGATGGGAAATATATGAGCAGAGAGGGTGTTCTTGTCAGTTTTGGCACATATTTGACTTCTGTCTGATAAACAACTTTTTCTTTACCCCTTCTTTTCTCCTGAAAATTCCTCCTTGAAGTCCTTCCCCTCAACCAAGCCTCAGACGGCAGCACACCCCACACAATTTATTCTGCAGCTTGTCTCCCCTGGAATGTTTCTGGGTGGGTGAGAATAGCTTAGGCACTGCTTTTGTTTTCATGGGGGGGCATTAAACCTTAGGAAATTTACTTTAGAGGGGTATCTGAAAGTGATTAAATAAAATATAAACTGCTCCATTAATCTGCTCTAAAACAATCTAAGAAAATATATGCTCTACTTTTGTATTATTTTATACTAATGCTACTCAAAGACGAAACAAAGAAAAGCAGCAGCAAGAGGAGGAGGAGAAAGAGGAGGCAGAGAAAAGGAAGGAAGAAGAGAAGAAAGATGGTAGATAAGAAGAAGAGAAGGTAGATGGAAGATGGAGAAGAAGAAGAAATGGAAGGAGGAAGAGGGGAGAGGAGGACACAGACAAAATGATGCAAACAGAAAGAAAATATTTATACACAGAGGGAGAGCATGAGAACAAAAGACCTATCTTATTAAATGCTAAATCTCATATGAAGAGTTCTAACAACATAATAACTATGGAAAGCCAGCATCCATATGCATTTTACTACCATCCATCCACCCACCCACCCATCCCCATCCCAAAAGATTTTTTGTTTTGTTTTGTTGTAATACGAAGCACCCTATCCCGGTCCAGCAGCAGTCTCTACTTTTAGAATGATGTCTCCAGGCAGCAGCCGGCCGTCTCTGGCGATTGCTCCATCACTGTAAACATGCTGGATAATGATGTGGGCAAGTGGGGTTTCACGGCCTCCCACAAGCCGAATGGAGAGGCTTTCGTTGGGATCCATTCGATTGATCTTGATGCTGGTAATCTCCCCGTGTGGAATCAGGTGATACAACCTTGGAAAGGCTGCAATGAACAAAGAGTGTTTTTTAATACACCCACCCAAAGGGTATTTCCAGCCACTCTTTCTAAGCCATTCCTTGTTCCTTGTGCATGTTTTCCACTTTGCTGCCTCAGTGCCAGGGTACATTTCTCCGCTGCAATGTTTTCTATGTTTTTGTTTTTGTTTTTTAATCTCAGGCCTAAACCCAATTTTTCTTTCAAGCCCTGCATGAAATGATCTCTTCCAATCAAAGTCTGCCCTGATTCATCTTTCCCTCACTCTCTCTTTGAACATACCACTTCCTATAAAGTGCCCTCTCCTTCTTATGTCAGTAGACCTTCTATTATTATTATTTATGCTCCTTTCTTGCATCCCCCATTGAACTCAGGCCCTGAAGGGCCTTTTCTCCGGCTGCTCTCTGGTTCTCTACACAGACTTTTGCACACAGAAGTCTTCAGCTGAAGCTTGCTTGGTGAAAAGGAAGAAATGAATTATCCTTTTGGAATGAATTGCAACTTCAATGACTTCAGAGTTAAAAGGAGAGCCAAAGATCATATAGGTTGGTGTTTTCAAACTTTAGTTTTTGACTGAATGTCTTTTTCTACAAGTTCTCTCCTACTTCTCATCCATTGTGATAAGGTGGAGAGAACAGCCAAACTGACTGCTGTGTAGCTCGATAGTGACAGTCACTCCTATAGAGAGGAGCTCCTTAAAGCACAGAGCGGGGACGTGAACTAACTAGCTGGAGGTTGCAAAGTGAGGTGGCACTCTAAGCTAGGGCAGAAGCCAGGCTCCTGAAGACAGGGACACTGGCTGTCTCCATAAGGTTTCCTGGAGCCAGGTGTTCACACCCAGGTTAGAGTCCTCAGGGGACTTCCCTATGGATCTATAAGCCAGCAGTAGGACTCGTACTGTTTCCGCATTCAGTTTGAATAGAAGTGTTCAGAGGGGACTCCAGCAAGCACTAGGACCAAGCTACAACTACTTTGGTGGGATTTCCTAATGATCTCAACTCTCCAGGAACAATACAGGAAAAAACAAAACAAAACAACTTGCTTCAAAATATTGAAAATCATGATTAACAAGGTAATTTAGTGGCCAGAGGGAGCTTGAGACACTGTAAATGTGTTCTCTTAAACTCCATGCAAATTTAACCTAATGTAAGTGACTGGCTTCCCTGTAAGGCAGCCAGTAGCTGTCTTAATCTGTCAGTTCTATAATCTGCCAGTTCCTGGTGCTAATAGTACTGGTGTGACTGAGTTCAATTAATGTTTAAACTACTTTGATTACATTAGGTACACTATCCCACAAACATTATCAGAACATGTCCACCACTGACAAGGGAATGAAAATTTTTGAAGAATTACTTTGTGCAAAGAAAGATACGGAAATGATCATCAAAGCTGTCAATCTTCCCTCCTATGACAAGGGAATGAAAATTTTCGAAGAATTACTTTGTGCAAAGAAAGATACGGAAATGATCATCAAAGCTGTCAATCTTCCCTCCTTCCTCGCCCTTGCTTACTGTTTCCTTCCTAACAAATTATAAAAGTCATACCTAATCACACTAGTAAATGATGTTAAGTAGAGCCACACCAATAGGTCTTAGTGATCTTGAAGAGTTAAAGGAGTTTTTAAACTATCAAACTTGCCTTGGTCTGGGAAGAAAAGCACTTACTCAATATTATGTCCTCCCTCATAGACTAAAGGATTTAACAGTTACTATTTACTGAGATTTTATTATATTAACGGGCCTTGAGCTAAGCAGTTTGAATGCATGTTTTTAGTTCTTGTAATAACTCTGTGAAGCAGATTGTTATCCCTGCTTTTAGATGAAAAATTAGAACACTGGCTGGAAGGGAAGTGAGAGAGCAGTCTGGACTGTCGCAGGGAGGTAAGGAAGATTTAATACTTAGGGACTATGATAAGCTCAGAGTTGTTCAAACATGGAGAGAGAATACGGGGCATGAGATGATCATAAATGAGTAAGGACGAGCTTCTGTGACCATGTATGAATTTTTTTCTGAGGCATAACAAATACAATAGTTGGAGTTCTACCTCCCAAACCTCTGTAGTGAGGGCAGTATAGCCTAGTATTCAAGAGAGTGGTTTTTGAAACCAGAGGGCCTTAGTTAAAAATCCTAGTTCTTCCAGTTTTTAGCTGGGTGACTTCGGGTTAGTTACCTAATCTCTCTGGGTCTCAAGTGTCCTCGTGTATAAAAACAGGAACAATAACCCTATCCCCTAGCATTGTTGTGACATCTAAATGACGTAAAACTTTTGGCACACAGGAAGAGCTCAAATTTTGAAACTGTTTTTTACTATTCTAAAATTCTAATACAAAGGGCCGGGGATTTAACTCAGTGGTTCCAGCCCTGCCTCGCAAGCACAGGGCCTGAGCTCGACCTCTGGTACTCCAAAAAAAACCAAAACCAAAACCAAAAAAAAAAAAAAAAAATCGAATATAAAATGAAAAGAAATGAGTGAGGCAGTATTTTACCAGCTCCACTTATATTGGGGAAAACATATAGGATCTAAGATCTAACAGCTTGCTTTACATATATTCTAGAGCCACATTACCTGTATTCAAAATACAGCAAGATAATTTGCAGCAAGCTAAGTAATCTCCCTGTGTCTGTTTCCTCATATATAAACAGGAAAATAATGATACCTACTTCTTAGGATTGTGTTGAGGAATAAATGCATGTAAAATACACAGAACCACACCTCATTCATAGTAGTAATAAGATCAAGTACTTATATACCACTTACTATGTACAAACACTATTTTAAAAGCTTTTCACTCTATTATTAAATTTTATATTATTACACTAGTCCCTGAAGGTGAAGGTTCCAACAATTTTTCCATCATCTGTGCAAGTGGAGAACAGTAGCTTCTGCCCTCATTTACCTACAAGATAAATAAGCTGATCAAGGTGAAAAACATCTTCCCCTTAGGAAGAGGGGTCCCAGTAGGTGGATGGCAGTTAGCCTGTCTTCAAGCCTGATGTCACTCTGGGAGCCCAGGCCATGTCCAGTCTTGTCGGGGAGTTCATTTACCTTCCGTGGCATTTTCATGGTTTCCCCTGCACTGATCAGCATGGTTGGCAAAAACGCTCCCATTCTTTGTCCTTCGAAGAACATTCAAGGCTCGATTAAATTTTTTAAAAGATCTGCTTCTGATACTGGATCGCTCAAAGGGCCATGCTGAGGAAAAGAGAGACGAGTAATAGTGCTTATGTGTTAAGTCATCTTTTATCCACACACTGGATCAGTTATATACAATAAAACATGAACAGTGATTATTTCTAGATGGAGGGATTATAAAAATTGTTTATCTGTATTTTCTAAGTTTTCTATAATGAAATATATCCAGCTTGTTAAAAAAAATCTCTCTTTTTTCATTCCTGGGCTAAATTGGATATAACAGTATTTTTCTTGAGGAGGCAGGAGCCATAAATCACAAGGGCTCACTTCAACCCCTTTCACCAAGTCAGATTACACCATTTTAATTATCTGAGGTACTCGTGGTTTCAATTCACTTTGGAGAATTGGACATTGAGTGGCTGCCAAAACTACCAGAACCATTTCCCTTAAAAAAACATTTCTAGAACTTTCCACAGTGAATATTCCTCAGAGTATAATCCCAAGGAAGGCCAAAAGCCCATTCCCAGACACCCACCCATTTGACTCACCCCTGTTTCGGTTGCTCCTGCCAGTGTCCGTGGGGCTGTTTTCTGGCTGACTATCCTCCACTGTGGACATGTAGGCAGGGTTGTCTAGGCCAGGCTCATCAGTCGTTAAGGAGACAGTGGCAGCTACCGAAACCTCTGGGGAGAGTGGGGAGGCCATGAGACTCGCGCAGCCATCAGAGCAGCCATCTTGGGAACGCCTCTTCCTGTCCTTGGTCAGGCCGTAGTGGGAGGCACCTTTACAGCTGGAACAAAACCCAGGAAGTTAGAGAGCTTTGACCAACATGCAAGTGCTCAGTGAGGACTCTTCAAGTATACCTGCCTGCCTCAAGTCCCTCTTTCTTTTCACAGATAAGCACTCAATATATACTTGCCAAAACCAAGTGAATTCTTGACTTAAATACATAGTTTTTTAAAGACATTTGCCATGTTCTCCTAATGCAATCTCGACACTGGCTGCTGGAACACAAAGGTATTAAATTTATGGGGACTACATGACTAGGGCTTGTGGCTGGTGATCTTTAAACTGTTTGGACCCAGTAATTCCTTCTTGCTGGTATTTGCTTTGACCATGAAAGCTCTTAAGTCACATTCTCCTTTTTTTGCGTTTTGCTCCCACAGACTTGAACAAAAATACAAAACTCTTCCCAGATTCCATATTTAACTGTCCATGGAACAAAATCATCATTGCCACAAAGCCACAGGAGTTTACTCAGCATTGCCATTCTCTAAGGCCAAGCTTGGTGGCTTCCATCTCTGCCTCTGTACTGGTCTGAAAGTCAGTTCCTTGCTCCTCTGAGAAGCCAGAACCAGGGGCAGCTGTGCACTGGAAAATGTCATTGTCTAGCATTGGGAGAGTAAAAACAGCTTTTACAGTTTTTAACAATAACACATTTATTTAAATGCAATCATCATCTATTTTACCAAAAAGCAAACTTTGTCATAAAGGGTAGTCATTGGTGCAACAGGGAGAGGCAGGGAAAGACCATGCCCAAGGGCCAGGAGATTAAGGTTTGAGCTGATCCAGGTCCACATTTTTCCATCAGTTCAATTTTATTGCCATTGGGCAAGTCATCCGAGCTCACAGGCAAGATTTTGTCGGGAAATGACGCCATGAGGCGGATAGCCAACTTCAGTAGTTGTAAAAACAGAAATCAACTCAATAAATCTCTATTTGCATATAACAAACGTGCTGATTATACGTTACTCTTATCCATGCACTACACAAAAATCTTGTATTTTTGTGCTATAATAAACCTTTCAGAACCTATTTGGAGTGATATTTCATTTTCTTGAAAGGAAACAAACATTAAAGGAATTAAGATGTATTATGTATGTGTACCCACTACATACAAGCAAGGCAAACATTATGTGTTACAAACATGTACTAAAACAGATAAACAAAAGCTTTGTCCAAAAAGCCACCTCCCAAAATGTCAGTATACATTAAATATGCACTTGATTTATATTGCCTATAGTACCATAGAACACGTAGACTTGAAGGGTCCAAGGTCTAAATCAGAATCTTTGCCCTAAAATTTACCTATCTGGGGCATCTAAGTAATTTTATTAATCTGGTGAAATTTCTTAATCTGCACATACTCATTGGTATAAGGTTTGACTGACATTAAGTGTTGTCAAGAGTTTAGTACCTTGCTAGTCATACAGTATATTGTAGCTATTCCCACAATGCATCTATTTCAAGAGGCTCATTTTCCCATCCATTAACATGTCTGAGAGCAGGAAGCATGTGTAGTGATGGGGTTAAACAGTTTCTGTTGCCAGCAGCAGCAGACATGATAATGGTGCCATTGAGTGAGCCTGACCAACACAGCCGTAGGTATCACTGTGTCTCTTCCATTGCATTGGGTGCACTCCTGGTACTATGGGTTGAGTTTAATTGTCATTTAAAGGTTTTAGAGAAGATTACATTATGATTCAGCATTGAAATGAAAAGTGACTGTAGACAAAGCCTCAGAAAGTGCATAATAGCTAAAATTTGGAAACAATTGCCCATCAACTGGAGACTGGATAAAGAAGATTTTTTTATATTAAAAAAGAATGAGAAACTAGAGATATTTATAGCTAAGTGGATGCACACTGAGGCCATACTCAAGTGAAATTAATAAATCATACATGTGTAAATACCAAATAGTTTCTCTGGTGTGAAAAACTAAAAGTATAAATAAGAATCAAAATGTATAATTGATATGGTGTAATAGGAAGAAAATGTCTGAAAGAGTAGGGGAAGTGAGAAGAGTAGGGGAAAGGGAAAAAGGGAAAAGAAAAAATCTGACAAATGGAAAAGGATGGAAACAATGTCTTTGTAAACAGGGAAGGGTAGAGGAGGTGAAGGGAAGGCTGGGAATGGGGAAAAATTAAGAACCAAGATAAATCATGTAAAGGTACAAGATCCCAATGACTAATGTAATTGTATTGTATATCTAAAATGTACCAATAAACTTAATTTAAAAAACTAGCAAAGAGAAAGCAGAGGGACATAAATTTGATATGGATGAAACAAATATCCTTAGACGAAGGTCCATACTTCCACATTTTCTTGCAAAGGAATAAGCAAATGCTTTACTTGCTTAAACATATACCCCTAAAGAGATTTAAAAAAAAGTATTATATTTTGTTGCTAAGATCACTACAAAAGGTTTGCTTGTTTTACACCAAGTGGTGCAACCCAAGGCAGAAGAAGTTGCCAAAGTGCCTGAATGGATTTGGAAGACACAGGAGCCTGCTTTGACCAATCCAGTCATAAGAATCCATCATTTAACTGGTGAGACATCTTTAAATTTCTTTTTCTCATTGGTCCATACAGTATGATGCTTCTTATATAATTAGTGGCATTTTAGATGTGATGAAATGTAGTTTTAAAATTAGTGTAAAGGTTTAGGTTTATACCACCTTATGCTCTTCTCTTCCAGAAGAGGGAAAAGGCCAGTGCAAGCCCCAGTTTATGCTGCTAGTGCTTCCCTCATAGGAAGAGTTCAAATTCCTGGTTTGAACTGGTGAAGTTTTATCATTATGATTGGCTACTTTGACTTCCATTCTGCTTACAAATAGGAAAGATGATACGAGAAATTAAAAAATTGGAAGAAAGACTATGTGTTGGAAAAAATAGAAGCTAGCATGCATTTGAGTAGCTCCAAAGTCATAAATACATAAGAGGAATGCTTCCAAGGAGGCCTTTAGTATTTGGTCAGCAATGGATGTGAAGGAAGTTTATAGGATATTTAGTTGGTTTGAGGAGTATCTTTTGGGAGGGTGGTGGTGGTGCTGCAGTGTCCTTAACTATGTGAGCCCTGCCAGAGCAGGAAATTAATGTTTCAGTTGTACAAACAGCTGGCAAAGGCACAGGAAGGACTTTCTTGGTAGCAGAGGTAGGAGAGTAAAGGGCAGTAGGGAATGGCATATCCCAGTGGGAAAAAATGACATCTTATTCTGTGGTCTTATCACTGAGCAGGTCAAAATATTTCTAAGATATTTCAATCCAAAACTATATCATGAGGAAATTTACAGTTTAAAATTCCTTGGATGCTAAAGACATATTTTTGAGTCCCAGACAGGAAAACTCCACAAAATGGGTGGGTAACTAGCTTTCCCTCTGGCAATATATTGTATTTATCCTTATGATAGCTGGGAAAGGTACAGAATCTACACCGAAATCTGCAGACTCACAAGCTTTGTTTGATAAAAAAAGTTCTGTTAGAACGAGTTATTCGGCTTCATAGCTCAGCTTGAGTCTGAGGCACAGCGTGACACATGAAGGCAGTGGCCTGTACTTACTAATTATCTCTTTTGCAGTGACTAATACTGGAGCCTCTTGATTTACAGGCACAGAAGAGGGAAGGGGAAGGAAAGAGCTGATTAACACTGGCCAGTACAGGAACATTTGGTAAATCCTGGGCTGTGTTCAAAGCAAGCAGGATTTATGCTCCCTTTTAGTTATCTGGGGGACTAAGTACTCTCAGGTGGTGATGGCCATGAACTTGAAGGATGAACACAAGGAACACAGAAAACCGTTTTTCACCTAAACCACAAACCCTGGATGTGCTTTCTGCTCAAATGTGCAACTCTGGAAATCAGTGTTCTCAGTAATAATGAAGCAGGAGTCCTGAGGTCTTTCGTTAAAGTCAGCAGAGACAAATCAGTCTTTAAGTCAGAATGCTGACACTAGGTATGCTGGAATCTCTTGTCTATTTTTTTTGGGGGGTGGGGTTTGGAGGAGGCACAAGAAGACAAATGGAATCCTTTGCTACAAAATTCCCGAGTCTATGTGTTCACTGCTAATGGGAGTTGGATGCAGGATGGACCCCAGACACAATTCACAGGGGTTCTGGATGGTCGTTCTCCAGGGAGTTCAGGACAGAAGGCAGCAGGAGCTGGTTGTTGGGAGGGGGTGGGGGGCCCTTGCTGATGGTGAACTTGCCCACTTATGATAGAAGAGTTGTCCTTAAGAAAGTGAGCATGGGCCCCTCACCATCACTTTCCAGACAGCTATAGATCTCCCTTTGATCTCCAACTTCCCTCATACTCTCTTCTCAATTCACTTCTGTATTAAACAAAGACCTGGTCAGCTTCTCACTTTGAGACCATTGATTGCCCAGTCTGGGCATTGCAAACTCACATAAAAGTGGGGAAAAGACAGAGGTAATTGTGGGTGGGGCCCATGGGGATTATCGACCCTGCAGCCACTATACAGCTTGACTGATTGCTCTTTGAAGAAGGCTTGGCCAGAGTTGCTGTGGATGCCAAAATCCAATTTTGAATGTGAAATCTTTAAATGGCAATAAATAAAAAAATTCTTAAAATGCTGTGTGGTTCAAACAAAACACATCTGCAGGACAGAGCAGTCTCAAGGCACAGCACATTCTGATCTCTGGACGTAGGAAAAACTTCCAGTGTGGGTAGTTGGCCTATTTCTATCTTTTAAGTCCTCTAGGAAGCAACACCACCCTCCTATGCTCTGCCCCAATCTCCCTCCACCCCACCTGTGTGGAGTGCACACAGTGCATATGAAGGGAGTGCACAGAGGTCGGATGGCTCTGTAGAGGCTTCTCCCAAGTCTCAATTCTCACATGTTCTTTTATTCACAAGAGAACTCCTAGCTTGCCCACAGCTGGTATTAAATGGGAAAGAGGGATATCTGATCCTATTGGATACACGTATTCTTTCAGGCAAAAGGAATCAAGATTAGAAGAGTGTGGAGAGAAGCGAGTATCCCTGCCAACAGCTG